CGTGGTCGTATCCGTGGTTGTATCCGCAGCTTCATCGTTACCGAGGTTGCTGCTTGCGCGCGAAACATGATCGCTACTATCGAGTCCGCCACCGCCGCTGATCAATTCGTTCAATTTACTCAAATTATTCGTATTATTTCTTTCGTTCTCTTCTGATTCAGGTTCTTCTCTCGAATTGTCTCCGACGTTTACAGTCCGGTTCACAGTCACATATTGAGCGATTGCGGTGTTTACTCTCGTCAGCACCGAGCGCGATTCAACCAGTCGTTGCAATTGAGTTTGCCGTTTGGTACGAGGTGCTCTGTTGTCCAAAGTATAACAAAGCGCCTGCGGTGGATTTGATCTTAGATATCGAATTTCTCGACATGTTTCCAAACGTAGTCGGAACATTCGGACAAATTCCTCTTCATCGCGACTATGGTGCACAGCATAAACGACTATCGGCGTAATGTCGAAACATGCGACGTAGTCATTAATTGTGTGCTTGAGTGGACTCGAAAGCGGTCACGCAACGAACCAAATCCGAATATCCCCATGATCAAAAGCGATCGATCGAAGAGAGCGCGCGAAGCAACATGTTCGTACTGCTGCTGCTATAGACGAATGCTACATATGCGAATGTGAGAAAAATCATCGCACATCTGAGTAAACGCGAAGTTTTTTTTATTTTCCCAAACCTTTCTCGCGGCAGCAGCGTCCAAGTATTTGTTCAATCTTTTGAGAGCACTTGTTGCAAGGAAACGATCGTTTTCATCAATCCGGCGCGACGTGCAGCAGCTCGATCTAATGCGTCGTAACGACGGGCGCTATCTTCAATCGCGCTGTTATACTCGCTGACCGCATCGATACCGCGTTGTACAGCCCGCCAAATAGTCAACATTACATCATCATTGAACCAAACGATGGCAGAGTCGAGCGACACATTTCGATTCGAAATGCATCGCGCCGCTATGGTTCGACCGATCGGACCGCGTACCGCGTTAACAGTTTCGCGATGCTCTAAAGCCCTACTTTGCAGCCAAAAACGAGCAAATGTTATCAAGTCTTCGATATCGTAGTCCATCGCACCGATCGCTTATCGTCGATCGCCTGCCGGCCGGGCCGCCGTCGGCGGGTTTCATCCGGCTCCAACGACGACGACGACGACGACGACGACGACGACAACGACGACGACTCTGCAGCGTTGATCGCAACTCGCATCGTCATTCGGCGGCCGCTCGGCGGCTTTCACCGTCGCTCTCGTGTGTCATCGGCAGCATGTCATCGTTGAGTCTGCGTCGCTTGCCGCTACAGATCGCCGCAACTGAAGCTCCTTTCTTCGTCACAACTCGACGAAGCTTCAGCATACCACGCAGACGTCTGACTTCGAGCAGTAATTGGTCGCAATCTCGTAACGTCGAAAGACAAGCGTTTACGCTTTCGCGATCGGCCTTTACTAGATTTATCATTTTGCGCATCATGTCTCCGGCAGCGTGCAATCTCTCGCCTGCCCTCATATTCGGTTCAGTGCGTACAGAGGGGGTCCATTTGCGCAACAACTTTACAAACGGTGGATGGCATAAAATAGTACCACCGTTCCTAACACCATCAATCGCTGAATTTGCGTTGGCAGTTCGAGCGCGTCTGCGTATCGCGCGAAACAGATCATCCACCGTGTCGATCATCGAATCACCGCAATTACTGCTGTACAAGTTTCGCAGTGCAAATGAACGTTTAACAGCCAATACTGCTGCTGTTTGTTACCGCTGCTACCATCACCACCACCATCACCACCACCACCATTCCCGCCGCTGCCGCCGTCGTCCAGATTGTTCATTTTTGCGGCGACTTTGACAACGATATGAATCTCATGAAGCGTTATCAGCACGACACGCTCAAACTGGTCGAATCTTTACTTCGAGGAATCGACGATTCACGCGAACGACTCGCGGCTCGTAAATTTCTCTGCAATCGTGGAGATTCGTCGTTGTCGGCAGTAAACGCTACGGCGGCGGCGGCGACGACGGCGGCTGAAGCGACGACGACAACGCTGTTCCGTTGTTCCGAAGATGAACGCGAGGCGGTAGAAAGATTACGGTATGAGTCAATCGTACTTGGCGCGATACTCACGACAACTGCGATTGTTACAACAGTGTTCAAACAGCCAGTTTGCGTATTGGACCTCGCAGCAGCACTAGCCTCATTAACTAAACGACGGTGCAAAATGCAATCATCAATACAGCAGCAGCAGCAGCAGCAGCAGCAATCGCGATCGATCGAGCAACGAGATGTTTTTTGCGCGATCGCGTGTACAGCAAGTAGCGCGAATGCGACCACTGATGTTGTCGCTCTAGAATTAGCAGTTGGCGATACGTGCAAAAAACAACTTTTCGCGCAAAATTAACAATATTGTCTCACGTTGGAGCCCAGAACATCGGTCAAAATGGTGTGTTCTGAGACAAAAGCGACAGTGTAAAAACACGAAACACCGCAACGACGATTATTCACACTGCGAATCGATCGCTTCTTGGTTACATTTGTTTCTCATCGATCATCGCTTCATGCATGTTTACGCTCGAATGGCAATTGTCGATAACGTTGTTGCAGCATCGTACGAGTCAGCGATATTGTCACATCTTTCAGCCAAACAACGAACGATATTTGCACGTCATGTTCGTGTAGCTGTGCGTGAATGGAATCAAAATATGCAAGAGTATAATTTTCTTAGTAGCGATATGTCACGTTTACGGCAACAACAACAATGGCGCACGATCGCGTCATACGAAAGGGGACTATTATATACAACAATATTTGTACCTCGTGGTGATCGTCGAGACTCGGCGGCGGCGGCGGCACCGGTGGACCCTAACGGAGCAGTGACAAGGACACGACGGCGTTCGATTATCGCCACGTTTTCTACCGCTGCAACTTTGAGCAACCATCAACAATTGTATTGCGACGAAATCAACGACGAGCGAGAATGTGACCAAAAGTCATCGTCTTTCAATAATTTCGAATAGCGCGTAGTGTGCACCGCGCAACGATCAGAATTATGATACATTTTTCACATATATGCGCGAAAAGTAGGTGGTTATCAAAGTTCCAATGAGAGCGATCGACCCGGACGAAACCATTCGTTTACCCGAACTACTCACGCATTCCGACGCATATTTGGTAAACACAAAGTACAGAAGACCAGCTAACGCAAATTGAGCGCACACAAAGATCCACACGAATACTAGTTTTATCGCAGTGAACGCTCGCAACGACGGGGATGAAGATTCCTCCTCCTTCGTCGTCGTTGTCGTCGTCGTTGATCGCCGAATTCGACGCGAGGCATGACGATGATCATTTTGTTGTTCATCCGCCATGTCGGATGCTGTGTCGATGAAAAACCGAGTCATGCGATCGTCCACCGACTCATCGAGATCGTTCGATCCGACATCATCGGATGGTGATCAGGTCACCGTTGTGCGCACTTCACGTGCGTCTTGAAACAATTGGTCCACTTTGAGCGCAATCGTTTCGTCAACACTTCGAGAACCCATCCTGCTGCTGTTACCCGCTGTTGCCGCTCACGCGCTTACTAGAGCGAAATTCTATGAATGGCTCCCGAAGGTAACGTGTAGAGGCGTGCAATTTGCTGTCGCTGCTCTGAGGGGATGCAGAACCGACGGGAGCTCATGACGGGACTAATGAGCTCGATTTATCTCGGTCGAGACTGCCGAGTCTCGAAATTCCCCCCTACTACTCCCGAACACTACTACAACGAAATGTAGTTTAGAGGCATGAAAACTGTGCTTCTGACCGATTCCGATACTTTTATAAACCAGCATCATTTTACAGATTTTGCATTGCACAAAATCAACGGATACATTAGTCTGCCTGTCAACTAGTATCAACGTGTCAACGTATATACAATATATATCTATAGTAACAACGTATACGAGGGGGAGAGCGGAAACAGAAAAGAATGTTTTAAAGTGAATATGTCATACTTCTATACATTCTATGATATTCTTTTCGAAGGGTGAATTTCTTTAGAGTACGTATGTATAAAGTTATTCCAACAATCACTACTTTTGTCTGTGCCAGGCTTTTCTATTAATTAAATACATCCATTTTGTATCTTTTTCGCTAGTTCATCTTTTGTAAAAGAAGACATTTTTATGTTATACCGGGTGTTTCAAATCACTCGGGTCACCCGATTTTTTCATTAATGCGACATTTTAGAGAAAAATATTTCAGACAAAAGTTATAGGGCTTTAAAGGATCTATTTACTGACGCTCTAAATTTGATCCTGGAATAACTCTGAAAAGTCCAGTCAAAATTAACATAAAAATCTTAAATGAATACCCCAACTTTTTATGACATCATCTTTTTCTAGCAATTAATTTGAACAACTTTTGTCTGAAAAATTTTTTTATTTACCTAATATTTTTTGAGATATTTCAAGGATAACTTAATAACTTTTTCTCATATTCAGCTCACGATATTTCGCTAACTATTTGTCAGAAGAAAAAGTGGTACTAGACCTTTTTGCTCTATTTAGTCTCAAGAATATATTGTTCCAATAGTGCCCTGAATTTGGTTAATTTGATGATTTTGAAATTTCCAATGTCCCGGGAGCATGACTCGAGACTGCGCCTTATGAGCGGGATCGGGCGTGAGTCAAAGCGCGGTTTGCACGCCTCTAGTAACATGATGTGATCTGATCAGTAGTAGACACGCATGATTATGTCCGGTGTGCGAAAGAAGAAGAACAATGGCGGCGGTAAACGCGGCGGCGGCGGCGGCATAGCGTCCACTCTCAGTAGTGCACTGACTCGCGCGATAACGTCTTCATCGTCTGGTACCTCGGCGACGATGGCCTCGAGCAGAAAATCGTTACCATCGAAGCGAAATAGTGCTAAATGGCGATACACCAATCCGCGATACCGTGATTACTTCACGTACGTGCGCACTATTGAACGAGGCACGCCTCCGTCCGCTGTTGTTTTTCCCTCTGTACGCGAAGAAAAAATCCATCTAGAGATCGAAGCCAACGAGTTTGGTGCGTTCGATAAAAACGTGTTCGATGAAACGCTCCTTCGCGCATTGCATACGTCTTTTCGCATCAACAGTCGCGTCTCTCTCAATCGTTTGAGCGCTCACGCACGCCAACAATTGGCCGGCTCGGGTATCCAGCGCAAGTGGTGCGAATCGTATAAGCATGATCATCACTTGGGTCTGTTCGACGGACGGGTGCCACTATTGTTACGCGTGTGCATAAACGCAAAGGAAGACAATGGCAGTGGCGCAGCCATCACCGCTGCTAAAAAAATGACGACGACGACGATGACGACGACGAGCAGCTATCATCGCTTTCTGCAAGATCGTCACGCAAGACCCGCAGTTTTAGAATTAGGACCGATATTGTTTGCTCGGGAGCGAATCGCAGTTTCAGCTTCTAGCGTGCCTCTATCGAGTCGCAAAGTAGAGTCGTACGAAGGAGAATTCGACTTGGCTGCGGACTCCTTGCGACCAGCGGCCCTTCGACACCTCGGCCAACGTTCAATGTACTATCGCCGTATATACATGGCACATATGGTATTATTCGCTGCGTGTGATACACGTGAGTACGATTACGATCAGGCGACTAACTCGGTTGTCGGGTGACTCAATACACAGTCTGTCCCAGATCCAATGAGACTGGTTTAAAAAAATACAAAGCGTTTATTATTTTGAATTTTTATTCTTGTTTATTCAAAATAGTCTCCTTCTGAGTCAATACAGCGCTGGAAACGTTCAACAAATTTTTCGAAACATTTTTTATACTCATCGGCTGGAATGGCCTTTAAGTATGGCGGTCGAAGTCTTTTGGATAACCGGGATGATATCGAAACGATTTCCTTTCATCGGCAATTTCAGTTTGGGAAATAGCCAGAAGTCGCACGGAGCCAAATCAGGTGAATATGGTGGATGATCGATTACAATAATGCCTTTTTTGGTCAAAAATTCACGTAGCATGATGGCTTTGTGCGATGGTGCATTATCGTGCAACCTTCCGTTTGCCCAAATCTTCGGTCAAAATTCGATAGACTGTGCTTTTCGGTATCCCAGTTTCCTCTTCGATGAGTCTCGCAGACACACAGCGGTCGCTTCGAAGAATTTCTTTGACTTTCTCGATGTTTTCTTCATTGCGAGTGGTTTTTGGCGGCTATGCTCAGTCATCGTCTGCAAGGTCCTCACGACCGTCACAGAATCAGCCAAACCAACGGAAAACCTGTGCACGGGACATACATTCATCCCCGTACACATTTTTTTAGCGTTTCGTACGTTTCTGCACCCTTTTACCCTACCCAATTTAAAAGTTGGTTTTTCGACCGACGTACACAAAGTGACTTTACATAAACCACAGTGAAATATCAACCGAATTCGCTCAAATTTTAAGGTTAAGTAGATTAAGGGTAGAACATTCACCTACCATCATTCACTCATAGATATTGCTGCGCTAAGAACTTTGATGGAACCAGTCTCATCGTATCTGGGACAGACTGTGTAAACTGATTTGATTAATGGACCCCACCTGTTTTTTTTATTTCAGTTTTGCGGGACAACGATCGAAAGTTGATGGTACTAGTTTCGCCCGAACTGCGCATTCTGCTACGCTTGCCAACGTCGCTAAGTGTGATGCTGCATTCCAATTCGCGCGTCGCGTTTCACTATTTGTAACGCAGTTTGCGACGGATCTAACTCGTTACGTGCATAATGGAAAACTGGTCCGCTCATTGCGAGCTCGAAACAACGCTCGGATATTCGCTTCCGGTCAGCGTGGGTCAAAGTGCATTATTTGACGAATTCTGGTCGCTCGATTGTAATCTCGAATCTTTCGTACATCGCAAATTGCGAATCGGAGCATCAACGTAGCGATTCGGTACGATATCCATAATATCGTATCGAGACCGTCGTCCAACTAACTCCACGCCTCAAGCGCCTGACAGATTATAGGTTCTGCGATCGCTCGCTCGTTGCAACGATCAGGATCGACTGATCTCTCAGCTCAAAATTCCATTGGCGTACAGTAGATATGCAAGATACGAACGGGCTCACGATCGTGCGAAACGTCAATTGACATACGAGGATAATGCGCGCTATCCGTTAATTCTTCGCGACACACTGAACGCGGAGCTTCGAATGCCGTTACGCTACGAAAGAGAGCTCACCGATCTCGAGGACGACACGAGCGACTCGAATCTCGGCCTGTGTTTCGAACACCGGCTCTCTTTCTTTGCACTAGCGTGCGCCCATTGCTCCGACGCGAAAACGATTCGTGAAAACGACGACAATCTTCCGCGCGAAGCATGTAACCAATGTGTCTCTCCGTTATCACCGCGTACTGTGCGTGTATCTCTGCGCGCTCGTCTCAACGAATATCACGAGGCATCGTATCATCTGGATCTGGAATGCGAAACATCTCTAACGAGCGCCATCAACACTCCCAGGGAGAGATTCGCTCGTCACAACACTATCGTGGCGGTGCACAGAGCATTGGTGCTTCCATGGCTACGTAAACACTGGCCCGACGGACTGCTGTTCGACGGCCTGCGCTCCGTGCCGCTGAAAGAAGCGCTTGACGAACTGTCGCTGATTCGCGCTGTTACAGGACCGAATTGTATAACGAGAACCAACATGATGCAGGAACTGGCGAGTCGTATCGTGCACCATGCCGAATCGTCGCTCGTTGCCAAACTCAAGTACGATGGCGCTTTTGGTGTCTTGATAAACGGCGCCTTGCGACTCGATAGACGCGAGATTCGTCAATGGCCATTGACGTGCACAACGACGATAGAAGCCGCAGCTCCTTCGGAGGAAGAACGTCGCGATACACCCGTATTATCCGGACAATATGTGTACCAAATTGAAACTATGCGAAACGGAAATATACATTATGCCGATGTTATCACAGAGATTGTATGCATTGGAGATCACGAAGAGTTGCTTCGTACTCAAAGCAACGGTGCGCTCGTGCGTCGAGTCGAGTGTACCGAATACGCTGAAGGAGCTGAACAGCGCAACTCGCTGACAGCGTACGCGGTAACATCCGAAAATCGCGAAACCATCAACGAATGGGCATTTATTGCGTAAGTACTTGTTCAGTGTGGATCGTTGGAGAATCTCGACGCTTTTGTCTCATGTGGAGATATTCTTCGCGAAACCTATGTATCGAACGACACGACTGATGAACTGCAAGCTGCAATCGTGACGCTGCGTTACGATTCGTCAAATAACAACAATCATCGTCACATGAACATGATTCTGCGTCGCGGTGCACTGGACCTGTACAAATGGTGTCAATTGAGCGTCGCCGCAACAACGAACAACGAACAGCCGGTGAACGGCGATAAATCGCTTCGAAATCAAATGACTCAACTCTCTAACCTCCGTCGAGCTGTCGTGAGGTCCGTGTTCGACACGTGCCTCGAGAATAGAATGACTTTGTCGCGTCGTGACTATCTCAGTCGAGTTATCATTCCGGTCGATTTAATATACTCGAATGCCATATTGTGTGATGCGTACGAAATGTAGGAAATGCGCGGCTACACGTCCGCTACCACTGATAACGACGTCGCCAATATCTTGTTGATCAGTCGACCCTTTCAACTACCCTACGAAATTGCACGGCTGCTGAACGAATATGACTCTCCGCGCGCAAATATTTCGACCGATGGCATTCTGATAAATGCGCAAGCGCATCACGGTAATCTTTTGTCATGGTGTTTCACATGCGCCAACACGTACGAAAAGATAAAATTGCGGCAGAGCGTCGAGCTGATCGTGTCGTGGGACTTGAACGAATTGCGCTCTCACGAAATCGTATTGGCCGTGCGACGATACGCCACATCAAACGTTGTCGCGACTGATGGTTCGAGCATCACAACTTTGCAATACACGGTTCAATCTCGTCGACTGATCACCGCGTGGCAACAACAAAGCTCGTTACTCATTGTAGAAAATGTCTCGGAGATGATGACTCTCGATACTACTGTCACTGCGAGCGGTGCCATTGATCGATTGGCCGAATTCGAATACGTCGCGCTCGGAACGGTGCGTTTCGTTCGATGGCGCAACGATAAAGACGAAGCCGATTCAACCAACAAAGTCATATGGTCTTGGAGAATATAAAATTTCCAATATGTGCCGAACGCCAAAGTTTGTCCAGGCGCCAAAAGCGACCACCGCTATCTCATGTAAGAAAAAAAGAACAAATAAACTTGCAATAATATGACATCTTTGACTAAGTTTGTCCGTTAGTTCCTATCCTCTGCGTGTAGAACGAAATAAAAGGTTTTGCAGATTCGCGGAAAACAACTTGACGCGCAGTTTTTTTGACTAAACCCTTTGAAACGACGACGTTCGTATCAACGACTGACATCGTACCTACTGTCGTTGCGCGCCGTTGCTCTCTTTCATTCTCATACTCACGATAAACCAAACGAAACGCAGTCCGCTTTTGTGTTCGCCCAAGCGAGAATTTAGCACAATTATCACCAAGATGTGCAAGATCACATCCTGTTCCATGGTTATTGCGCAGCTAGTCGAGTGAGTGACTTCAGAAATGCTCCGTATTATAGGTTAGGTTCCGATATACACTTTTCGCATCGCTCGCGTTCGCTCACGCGTCGTTCGATCAAGTCGAGTCGACCGAACGAAGCGCGAGATCGCGCAGAAAACCACACGTTCTATATATATATTTTCGAAAATACCGGAGTACAGAGCAGTAGCCCCTGGTCCTATTGTACCTCTGACTGCTCTGTACTACGGTACGTACAATAGTATCGGCGCGCGCCCGACACGGCTAAGTACGTGTTGGAAAATTGCACAACTTGCACAGTAGAGGGGGAAGCTTTGCTTGTTCATTGGTCACAGTGGTGGAAAATCACAGTGGTGGGGGAAATTCCGCTAATCAGGTAAAATTTACCCCCACCACAACGCCAATCGGAAACTTTAATGGAACGCTGCGCGACGTCTTACTGTTGTGATTTGGATCGCGATATTGGCGATTTTTGATGCATTTCGCGCATGTAGCAAGGAAAATAAACAATGCGAGAGATGCACGTCAGCCTTGCTGAGTCGAGGTGGCCGTTTTCTTCCAGGAGTCGGAAGATGAAACGACCGATGCGAGAGATGCACGTCAGTTTTGCCGAATCGAGATTTTCGAATTTTTTCCAAGAATCGGGAGATAAAACGATCGATGCAAGAGATGCTCGGCAGCTTTGACGAAAAGAGCTATTTGTTTTTTTTTTCGAAAAAGGGGAATGAAACGAACTATACGAGAGTTGCCCTTCGGCTGTCCCGAAAGTCTCCGTACATTCTCTTTGAGCGAGATTCGCTGATGGGGGACAAAACGGGCGATGCGAGAGATGCTCGGTTGCCTTGCTGAGTCGAGGTTTTCGTTTTTTTTTTCTTAGAGGGGGGGAGAGAAAACGAACGATGCGAGAGTTGCCCGCCTGCCTTGTCGAATCGAGGTTTTCAAATTTTTTCCAAGATTCTGAAAAAAAAACGAAAGTTGCGTGAGATACCCGGCAGCTTTGCCGAATCAAGCTGTTTTTTTCCATGAGGGGCGATGAAACGGACGACGCTAGAGATGCCCGTCAGCCTTGCTGAATCGAGTTATTCGTTTTTTCGAAGAGGAAGGATGAAACGAACGATGCGAGAAATGCCCGGCTACCTTGCTGAATCGAGGTGTTCGTTTTTATCCGAAGATGGGGGATGAAACGAATGACGCGAGAGAGAACGGCAGCCTTGCTGAGTCGAGGTTTTCCTTTATTTTTCAAGGGGAGGGGATGAAACGATCGATGCGAGAGATGCCCGTCCGCCTTGCCGAATCGAGGTTTCCGAATTTTTTACTAGAGGGGAGAGAAAACGAGCGTTGCGACCGATGCCCGACAGCTTTACCAATTCGAGTTGTTCGTTTTTTCCAAGAGGGGAGAGAAAACGAACGCTGCGAGAAATGCCCGTCAGCTGTTTCGAGAGTTGCAGTACATTTTCTTTCAGCGAGATCCGCTCAGGGGGGGGAGAAAACGGACGTTTCGAATGATGCCCAGCTGCCTTGCTGAGTCGAGTTGTTCGTTTTTTTCCTAGAGGGGGGGAGAGAACGAACGATTCGAGAGACGCCCGGCTGCCTTGCTGAGTCGAGGTGTTCATTTTTTTCGAAGAGGGGGGGGTTGGATGAAACCAACGATGCGAGAGTTACCCGTCGGCTGTACCGAAAGTCGCTGTACATTTTCTTTCAACGAGATTCTCTCAGGGCAGGGGGGAACGAACGATGTGAAAAATGCCCGTCTGCCTTGCTGAGTCGAGTTGTTCGCTTTTTTTTCCTAGACGGGAGATGAAACGTACGATGCGAGAGATGCCCGGCAGCTTTGACGAATCGAGCTATTCGTTTTCTTCGAAAAGGGGAGATGAAACGAACGATGCGAGGGATGCCCGTCAGTCTTGCCGAATGGAGATTTTCGTTTTTTTTTCGAAGAGGGGGGGGTGAAATGAACGATGCGAGAGATATCAAGCTGCCTTGTTGACTCGCGGGGTTCCTTTTTTTTCCTAGAGGGGGGAGAAAATGAACGATGCGAGAGTTGCCCGTCGGCGGTTTCGAAAGTCGCTGTACATTTTCTTTCAGCGAGATTCGCTGAGGGGGGAGAAAACGAACGATTCGAGAGTTGCCCGTCGGCTATACCGAAGGTCGCTGTACATTTTCTTTGAGCGAGATTCGCTGAGATGGGAAAAACCGAACGATGCGAAAGATACCCGTCTGCCTTGCCGAATCGAGATTTTCGAATTTTTTCCTAGAGGTTGGAGAAAGCGGACCATGCGAGAGATGCCCGTCAGCCTTGCCGAATCGAGTTCGTTTTTTTCGAAGAGGAAGGCTGAAACGAACGATGCGAAATATGACAGGTAGCTTTGCTGAGTCGAGGAGTTCGTTTTTTTCCGAATATGGGAGATGAAACAATCGATGCGAAAGATGCCCGGCAGCCTTGTTGAGTCGAGGTTTTCGTTTTTCTCCTAGAGGGGGGGGAGAGAACGAACGATTCGAGAGATGCCCGGCTGCCTGGCTGAGTCGAGGTCTACGTTTTTTTTTCGAAGAGGGGGGGATGAAACGAACAACGCGAATGTTGCCCGTCGGCTGTTCCGCAAGTCGCTGAACATTTTCTTTCAGTGAGATTCGCTGAGAGGAGGGAAAACGTACGATGCGGGAGATGCCCGTCTGCTTTGCCGAATTCAACTTTTCGTTTCTTTCGTAGAGAAGAAATGAAACGAACGATGCGAGATATGCCCAGCTGCATTGCTGAGTCGAGGTGTTCGTTTTTTTGCCTAGAGGGGGGATGAAACCAACGATGCGGAAGACACCCAGCTGCATTGCTGAGTCGAGGTGTTCATTTTTTCCGAAGAGAGGGGATGAAACGAACGATGCGGGATATGCTCGGCTGCCTTGCTGAGCCGAGGTGTACGTTTTTTCCTAGAGGGGGAAGAGAACCAACGATTCGAAAGATGCCCGATTGCCTTGCTGAATTGACGTGTTCGTGTCCGGCAACTTTACCGAATCGAGCTATTCGTTCTTTTTTCCTAGAGGGAGGGATGAAGCGGACGATGCGAGAGATGCCCGTCAGCCCTGCCGAATCGAGTTTTTGATATTTTTTTCAAGATTCGGGTAAAAACGGACGAGGCAAGAGATGCTCTTTGCCTTGCTGAGTCGAGGTGAACGTTTTTTTCCTACAGGGGAAGAAAACGAACGATGGAAGAGATGTCCGTCAACCTTGACGAATGTCGCTATACAATTTTTCTTCAGAGGGATTCGCTGATGGAAGGAGAAAATGTACGAAGACGAGCGTGACTTCAGAACTGCTCCGTATTATAGGTTAGGTTCCGGCATACACTTTTCGCATCGCGTTCGCTCGCGCGACGTTCGATCGAGTCGAGTCCACCGAACGAAGCGCGAGATCGCGCAAGAAACCAGCCGTTCTATATATGTTACGGAAAATACCGGAGTACAGAGCAGTAGCCCCTGGTCTTATTGTACCTCTGACTGCTCTGTACTACGGTACGTACAATAGTACCAGCGCGTGCCTGGAACGGCTAGGTACGTACTGGAAAATTGTACAACTTGTGCAGTAGAGGGGGAAGCTTTGCTTGTTCATTGGTCGAAAATCAAAGTGGTGGGGGAAATTCCTCCTATCAGGTACAATATACCTCCACCACGGCGCCAATCGGGGACTTTAACGGAACGCTGCGCGACGTCTTACTGTTGTGACTTGAATCGCAATATTGGCGATTTCTGAAACAAATTGCGCGCATGTAGGAAGGAAAATGAACAATGCAAGAGATGCCCCTCTGCCTTGCTGAGTCGAGGTGTTTCTGCCCAAGAAGGGAAAGAAAACAAACGATGCGAGAGATGCCCGTCAGCCTTGCCGAATCAGGGTTTTCGAATTTTTTCTGCATTCGGGAGAAAACAAACGATGCGAGAGATGCCCGTCAGCCTTGCCGAATCAGGGTTTTCGAATTTTTTTCCAACATTCGGGAGAAAACGGACGATGCGAAAGACGCACGTCAGCCTTGTCATATCGAGGTTTTCGAATTTTTCCAAGATTCGGGAGGAAACGAGCGACACAAGAGATGCCCGTCAGCCTTACTGTGTCGATGTATCCATTTCTTTTCGAAGGAGGGGGGCATGAATCGAGCGATGCGAGAGACGCACGTTAGCCTTGCTGTATCGAGGTTTCGAATTTTTTCCTAGAGGGTGTTGAATCGAATGATGCGAGAGATGCACGTCAGTCTTGCCGAATCGAGGTTTTTTAATTTTTCCCTACATTTGAGAGAAAACGAACGATTCGAGAGATCCCCGTCAGCCTTGCTGAGTCGAGATGTCCATTTCTTTTTCTAAGAGGGGGGAGGGGGGGCGATTAAACGTACGATGCGAGAGATGCCCGTCAGCCTTGCCGAATCGAGGTTTCCGAATTTCTACCAACATTCGGGAGAAAACGAATGACGCGAGAGATGCCCGTCAGCCTCACCGAATCGAGGTTTTCGAATTTCCTCCAAGAGTCGATAGAAAACCATCGATGCGGAAGACGCACGTCAGCCTTATCGTATTGAAGTTTTCGAATTTCTCCAAGATTCGGGAGGAAACGAGCGACACGAGCGATGCCCTTTATTCAGCTTTGCTCGAGGTGTTGGTTTT